TATATTTATATTTATATTTATATTTATATGCTGAGGTCCTGACACCCATCAGGGGCAGAGCTTGGACATCTTCTGGAAACGCTGTGATGCCTCACTTTTGAGAAAGTCCACCCACAGAAACGGGCACAATTTGCTCCTTGTCTCTGCACCTCCAGTCACTCCATCAAGCAAAATAAGGTCCTCACTGTATTAAAAAACCCCGCAGGACACAGCGCACACGGGCAACTAAAACTCCTCAGTCCTGAGGCAGAAACCATTCAGAGAAATGTGCAGAAACAGAGGGGTCAAACATCTCACAAAAATACATCTGGTTTTTGTGGGTGCCCTTTCAACAAGGTACTTTCTAGTGCTCAAATTCCTGTAATTCGCTACCCAGCATTCCTACACCTTTTAACAACTATCTGTAGCCTGTGAAATCTATTATTCCCAGCATTAGTGAATAGTTTCTTTTGCCATTACCAGGGTGTAACCTTTTGGCAAGCCAAGACTTGGAGTCCTTCCCAACCGTAATAATAAAAGCCTCAATATATGCACACTGTTTTAACACAGAAGAGCAAACCTCAATAAGAGGGGCACAAAAGCCCGAAGAAGGTGACCAAGACAAATCGTAGTACTTGCTTTTAGCCATATAACAATGCTAACATTAACAGCCTCTGCTTTGGTTAATGGCTCATCCCAGAGCCTGCTGGCATACTGAAAACTGACTGCAAAGATCCCTTGCAGAAGGGGTTAAGCAAGCACATTTCCAAATTGCCATCGTAGTATCGCAAGTGATGATTGTTGGACTCGTAATATCAGCAATATTTTAGTCCAGGAAAGGCTGCAAAAGCTGTTTGCCAAACTTCCCATATATCACAGACTAACAATTTCCTTCTGTTATCCCTGGATTTATGATTTGCGTTCGGCATCTCAGAAAATGCTTTGACCCAGTCTGTTTCTGCAGGAGAAGACCCCGCTCTATCAGAGTAGCACAGCCAAATTGGGGTGGGAGCCTGGACATAAGACTCCCTTGGGAATATATGTGCCAAAAAGGCTGTTCTCCATACCCAGGCATCGTGAGCCTGAGCACCTCCATTGTCCCTTTGTCACCTTAAATGAGACAAAATACCTCCAGAATTCTCTGCACCGTCTACCGAAGCACGATCTCTGTTCATCCTGGCTGACTCCTCCTCTTATGCCACTCCTTGTGACAGCTCTGCGAGCAAAGTTTTTATTTCAAACCCATTTTGTGGGGAGATAGGAATGCAGAAAGACACTGGAACACTCTCCGAGCTACAGAAACTGCCTGGGAGAAAGACCCATAAATAAGAAATGTTTTGTTGATGCTGTAATGAAAACCACATTGAGATCACACTATAACTGCTCGGCTTTACGTAGGGACACACAAGCTGCGAACGCCAAAGCTGTCCAGAGCAGAGTTAGGGGATGGGGAGAAGAGACAGATAAGCACAGAACAATGATATCACATTTTCTACATGGAGAGAAGGGATCTGGAAGGAGTTGCTTTTTCTCCAACGGGTTCATCTGCTGCGAGTACAGCTCAGTTCAAGCACACGTAGCTTCACGACTGCAAACAGAGCTTGGCGAAGCACCGTGCTGTTGATTTGCTGATGCTCACAACTGGCAGCTCCGGAGAGCAGCACGTGCTGCGGTACAACGGGGTCACTCCCAGGCACAAGTCCTGGGCCAGCGCCACAACAGCTCCTCCTTTTTTGGAGGCTAGGAGAGCATTTGAGGGAAGCGTGACCATTTCTTGTGTTTTCTTATTCTTTTTTAAGCAATGGCTTGGACCACCTTTGAGATAGGACACCGAGCTCACCTTGGCGTATGTTTTCACCTAGGAAAAATTAGAGGCATATGTTGTGTCCTTCATAAAGGGTACACAAGGAGTTTGTACACAGTGATGGATGTGCTCCAGTACCATAGTGGAAAGAGGGAAAAGCTACTAGAAGAAAATAAAAGGAGAAGATTCAAGGGAGGGTTAAAGTGGCACGATCAAGTGGGGAAACCAGGGATTAGGGTGGAACTGCAAAGTGAAACATTCCTGTGCTAAGAGGGACCAGGTTGTGAGAAAGTAAAGGAGATATCACAAAAAGAAGTACTGTGCTGCCAGGAAAAAGAGAGGAGGAAAATGGAGCAGCCTGCTAGGCTTTAAAGACAAAAGATAATTTTTAGAAGGCATTTGTTGGGCAGTTTTGGGATACTGTTCCCTATGCAGCTCACTCTGCTGATACCTGGCAAAGTCCTACTCCTACTGTCTTCTCCTCATTTTCTGGTACTCTGCTAAAAAAAACAAGCAGACCAGTTTGTGCAAAGGATGAGTTTTGTCCAAATGTCCAGAGCATTCCCTAGAATCTGGATCTAGCCCCACCTTTCCTGTCATGCATGCTGCTCCTCACCAATCTCTCATCTCTCTATTCCGTTTTAAAGTGCCCAGGACAGAGCTCTCCTCTATGCCCAGAGCTTTGCTGGATCCTGCACGACCTGGGCAGACAGAAACATTTTAGCACCACAAAGCAGCCGTAAGTCACTGCGCTCAATAATGACTTTTAACTCTGTGCAGTCTGAACCCAATTCTCCGAGGTCTTGCTGCTGGCAGAAAACTCCCTGCTGTTGAACATGCATCTGATTACAGCTCTGCTCAGCCAAATACTCTTCATGGTTTCTACAGATGTTCCTTTTTTTTAATCCCATAGCTATGAACATTGTGAGGCGATGCTCTCTTCACCTGCCACTTTTCTCTGCCAATAATCCCAGTAAAAATCTATTAGCTCATGCCCTTAACCTCAGCAAGTCCTAGCTGTGCTGGTCTACATCTCATCTGGGATAATTTAAGGTTTCAGGAACTGCTGGCTTAGTGTTATCTTTAAAAATACCTCCCTCCCTGATACAATCGGAGGCTGAGAGGTTTCAAGCAAACAAAAACAGCTGAGCTATCCAATCTCCATGAGGTTTCCATGAAATTCTCGTTTGGTTAACTCTTCTGTTAAGCTGTTTGCAGCTTTGTGGTGTTGGCACTGCAAAGGCACACCAAGAGCACAGGCTCCAGTAAAGCAAAACACTGAGATGTGCCAGTTCCCACCTGGAGAGACCTGGGTTTCAGAGCACTGATGAGTAACTGCTGAGTGCCCTCCACCAGGGGATGGTTTGAACCCAGAAATTGAGTTTGAGGCCTCCTGCTCCCAGGTCACTGCATCAAACAACCCAGAGCTGTGCAAAACAGAGGAGTTTTGGTGCAATGCCAAGGCAAATGAGCTCACCTTTCACCTGCGCATCGATTCGGGATACAATGAATGCATCAGGTCAGAAGGGGAACACGGTTGGCTCTTATCATCAATTTTCACATTTTGTGGACATGGGAAGACATCTTCAAACTTGGCTTTTTCAGCCCAGGCGTTGCACTAAGATAAGCTGTCCTTTCCTGAAAGCTACTACACCATTATGATGACAGACATGATAATAAATTACTCGGCTAGACAAGCAGTCAGCACACAAAAAGAGAGGAAGGAGTCTTTCTCTTCACCCCCACCAGCACCAGGTCACAGTGTTTGGGAGTGAGGTAACGCTTGCAAACTGTTCCTCCCATTGGCAGCAGGAGATGTTTTTGTGTCTCCATAGACAGGACATAGTGGAAAGCTGATGGATGACATTCCTAGCTCTGTGTTAGGATGTTTCCAGGAATGAATGCCTTGCTCCGGAGCCAGCCAGCTCCAATGAAGTTGAGCTGAGAAGCAGTGGGGATGCAGTGGCCGCTCACAGCTACTACAGCCCCAGGTGACGGGGGCAACCATCAGACCCCCAGTGGAACAGCAAATCAAGCACTGACAAGACTTTACACAGGAGAGGAAAGGAGGAGGCCAGCATTAATGGGACTTCCCTACCTCACAGAGTTGGTAGGAACAGCAGCTTCTATCATGCTGAGTGGTGGTCTTCAACTCCTATAACTTCCATTATACACATTTATGCATTTCTTAGCATAAAACACAAGCGCTTGAAAAATCCTCTACTAACATTTCTCTTGAACTGAAACCAGCTCCTCCACAAAGTGGAAATTTTCACCCAAATTATGTGGCTGATATGGAATATTCACATCTTAAATAAATAAAAAAAGACAGCAGGCATACAAACTAAAATTGCTACAAACTTTCAGCTTCTAGCAACACAATCCAAAGGCTTTTGGGTTTGCACCATACGGCTTCAGACTTTTGATGGAAAGAAAACTTCTAACTGTTTGAACAGCAATTTCATTTCCATTGGAACCTTTCAGGTGGAGAGGAAAGGGAAAGTTTCCTGCCCAGCTCTAAAGAACTACAAGAGAGTTTCTAACACGTACGATCCAAACATCTTGGATCTCAGCTCTGGGGAAAAACCAAACGTGGTTCAACACCTAAATGCAACCATGATCCAGATTTAAGGAGTTCTGGCCACACTTGATTCGAGTTCCATTTTAGGGAGCTTAAAAGCAAAAGCATGAATCTGTGGCTGCCTCTGTCATTCCTTTTTGAGAGCCCTTAGCAAACCATTCCTCTACTCCGAAGAGTAAATAACGCAGACGCTCAAAGCATGAGCCAGTTCAACACTGAGCCACTAGACTTCCACACATAAGAAATTAATGCATTTATTTTATACTCAAAAGGGTCAGGACTGCTTCCAAATGATGAGGCAGCTTCTGAACAGATTGCATGGTAGAAAGGAAGAATTCTACTGTCAGTGGTGGTGTTAGCTATGAGTTATGCTATCTGGTTTCCTATGTGGGTTTGCAGGCGTGCCAGATGAGAACAATAGGATCCAGCTACATTCTTCCAGCTAAATGGCTCTCCGTACACTTCCCAAAAAGACCAGACACTCAGGGCTAATTTGCTTCTCTTACTTCAGTTTTTCTGCCTTGGGAACTCTGTAGAGGACCCATCTTCCCAAGATGTGTCCCCAGAAGCACAGCAATGCCTCAGTCACTGTGCCCATACAGCTTCCAGCAGTGGTGTTTATCTAAGCTGTGTGACCAGGCCTGCTAAGTGCCCCAGAATTTAGGTAAAGAGAAGAATAGACCCGATCTCACTACATAACCCAGCAAGACATCCATAGATACACTTTACAGGCACATTTGTCTTCTATATTTTGTCCCCTCCTCTGCTCAAGCTTATCTATCCACATATTTGCATCAGATACGCAGCACACAATACCACCAGCAATATTCCTCTAAAAAAATAGTCTTTGCAATAGGCCTATGAGTCAAACTGAAGAGATTATTAAGCTTCTGTTGGAGCCCAAGGACAGATGCTGGCTTTCAGAGAGAGCATCTCAAATTTCATTGCTTGGAAGGATTAATTTGAATTTAAACTTATTCACAGCCTTTTCGTCTCACCTGTCTCTTAGACATGCCCGAACTGGGGCCAGTTTAATGAACCCTTATGCATTGGCTGTAAAATCCAAAAGGGCCAGGTCTGTTCCATCCTTGTCACCTACAGCAAAACCTCGTGCAGTGAGAAAAATAAAGACCTAGATAAGCTCTCATTTGGGTTTACAATATTTTTTACTAGATAAACATTTCATTTGGGCAGCTCTGTCTAGTACACGCCATTACACTTCCTCTTGGATCCAAGCTTAACCATTCCAACCTGTTTCAGCTCTTCATGGAGCCAGGTGCTGGAGCTGGATTTCCCTCAGCTTCTCACTATTCCACAAATTTAATAGCTCCTCATCCCATAAATATTAACTTCACAGTCATGACATTTGAAGATCCAAAATGTTTCACAAGCAAATCTCCAGAATCAGGGAAAAAAATAAAAATAAAAATCTCTTACTGAGAGTAACCGTGTCATTGATCCTGAAACTGCAGAGCACTCTGTCAACGTTTCGGGCATGTCGGAATCCATTTCCCCTCACCACAACCTGAAACGACTCTGTGGAGAAAGAGACCGTAGATGATTGATACACAGAGAGGCAAAGAATGGTCAGTTAGACAAGGCACACATGTCACAGAATCACAGAATCACAGACTCACAGAATCGCTCGGTTGGAAAAGCCCTCTGAGATCATCACGTCCAACCGTTCCTGTCTACCCACTAAACCATATCCCTAAGTACCTCATCTACCCGCTCCTTAAACACATCCAGGGATGGGGACTCCTCCCCCTCCCTGGGCAGCCTGGTCCAGCTTCTGACGACCCTCTCAGGAAAGAACTTCCTCCTTATCTCTGACCTGAACCTCCCTTGGCACAGCTTGGTGCCGTTTCCCCTTGTTCTATCCCCCATCACCTGGGAGAAGAGCCCAGCACCCACCTCTCCACAACCTCCCTTGAGGCAGTTGGAGGTGGTGATGAGGTCTCCCCTCAGCCTTCTCTTCTCCAGGCTAAACAAGCCCAGTTCCCTCAGCCGCTCCTCATCAGGCTTGTTCTCCAGAGCCCTCCCCATCCTTGTGGCTCTTCTCTGAACACGCTCCAGAATCTCAACATCCTTCTTCTAGTGAGGGGCCCAGAACTGAACACAGCACTCGAGGTGCGGCCTCACCAGTGCCGAGTCCAGGGGGCTGATCACCTCCCTGGCCCTGCTGGTCACACTGTTCTGAATACAGGCTAAGATGCCAGGCTAAGATACAGGCTAAGATGTCAAAAGGTTTCACTTCAGATCTCTTGAGCTAAAATTTGCAGTTTAACAATTTTTAAGTTAAAAAAAATTCTTAAAAAGTGAACTTCCACTCTCTCCCTACCCAATTTTAACCTGAGTTTTTAGAAACAGGAAATAATTCACAACAGATACTTTTTAACTGACCTACAGTGAAAACATTAAGCTTCGGATCTGAACACTGAGCTTTCCCCTACCCAGGCTGTCATTTTAAATGGCAGAAGGTTCTGGGTGAAGAAAAGCAGAAGTATCTTCCAATGACAGATAACTTGGAGAAGTTCAAGTGCTGCTTTCCTAGGCAACTGAAACTTTGCATCCATTGCCATGAGTTTTGTCATGTGCTGCCCCACGAGCCTCTACAGTGACCACGAGTCCTTGGCTGGACATCTCCGTACAATGATGGGGAATTTCATTTGTCCATCAGATTTGTAGTCTCTGGACAAAGGCTGTGATTTCAGAGTCTGTGGGCATTTCCCAGCAGTTGAGGGAGGTGATTCTGCCCCTCTGCTTTGCTCTGCTTTGCTCAGATCCCACCTGCAGTGCTGTGTCCAGTTCTGGGGCCCTCGGCATAAGAAGGCCATGGAGCTGTTGGAGCGAGTCCAGAGGAGGCTACAAAGATGCTCAGGGGTTGGAGCAGCTCTGCTATGGGGACAGGCTGAGAGAGTTGGGGCTGTTCAGCCTGGAGAAGAGAAGGCTTTGGGAGAACCTTATTGCAGTCTCCCAGTTCCTGAAGGGGTCCTACAGGAAAGCTGGGGAGGGACTTTTTACAAGGGCAGGTAGCGATAGAATGAGGGGAATGGTTTTAAACTGGCAGAGGGCAGATTTAGACTGGGTATTAGGAAGAAATTCTTCCATGAGAGGTGGTGAGGCCCTGGCCCAGGTTGCCCAGAGAAGCTGTGGGTGCCCCCTCCCTGGCAGTGCCCAAGGCCAGGTTGGACGGGGTTGGAGCAGCCTGGGCTGGTGGAGGTGTCCCTGCCCATGGGGGGTTGAACTCGGGGGTCTTTAAGGTCCTTTCCATGCTGTGATTGTGTGATTTCCCCAAGTCTTCCTCTTTGCTGTTCTTCCAGACCAACTCTACAAGGTCATGGGAAGTTGCAGCACAAGCAGAAAGCATCGAGGACAGTGACTTACACCTAAGTGCTGAACTGAGTGGTCCTTTTTGGAACAAGCAGGGCTGAGCAATGAGATCATATCCTCACAAGTCTTTCAGATCACTCTCTGCTGTCCCTTGTTATTCCAATTACTTGAACCTAGTGCTGGGAAGGGTTTACAAACTTCCTGCAGCCACCAGCATTAAGGCTGCCTTGCAAGGAAAGCACCATTTTCCAACTTTCAGATTTTGAAACAGGGCCACAGTCCCAGAAAAGTTCTGGCAGCAAACACAGGGACTCAAACTCTGCAGTTCCCCATGGCGAAGGAAACAGCCCCCACAATTCCTGTTCCTATCTAGGAGAGGCACTCAGATAGTCCCCACTGACATTTTGCTAGTGAGTGGGGTTTGAACACAAAGCCTCTCCCTGTCCATGACGATGCAGGAGTAATTACAGTGGATCAGAAACACCTCCCTGGTTTTAAACTTCCCAGGAACCTAGTTTTTGCAGATTCAAAGTTTTTGCCTTGCACTTTACAGTCCCCATCTTCTTTCATCTCCCTTAAGGACTCTCACACTGTACTTGTCAAAAAAAGCAGATTTGCTCTGGAATCTGGGCTCTTTTCCAGGTCCCACTCATTTACAGCCAAGTTGCAAATCATCCCACCACATCCAGCCAGGGAAGCTGCCTCGCAGGCCCGTTCTGTGCTGTCCAAGAGCATTTGGGAAGAGCAGGGGAGAAGAGCTCTGTTCTCGAGTGCGGGGGCTGGTGAATGCTTAAGAGAAATCACAGAAGTCTCAACTGCTGGGGAATGAGAGTTCAAGCACAGTCAAAGCACAGCATTTCAATGATGTCAGATTAACCACGGGGATCCTATCTCTGCTTGAGACTGAAATGAGCAGATACTGTACGGGCCCTGCATGTCTGTACTGATGCAAGCCCAAATAATCAAGAAAATGGCATTTCAGAATGATGTGTTGCTGCTGAAATTCATTACTCAAGTGAGTCTACAGTGCAAGAGTGGCCTCAGGTAACACTGAGCCCTCATGTTCTCCCAAACTGAAAAAAGGGAAAACCACCACCACCACTCTTCAAGGAGGTGCACAGAAACAAGAAAGTACGATGTAATAGAGCTACACCTGCAAAAATTTATTTTAAAAATATGCTAATGCACATAACTTCCACATTCAGGGGCACTTTCATTAGTCTCAAAGTCCTAAGTGACTAAATTAGCTGCAGTTCAAGAGCAATGGAGTATTTGCCCATACTCAGAGGTGAAGCCTTGAACTGAGCATCTAAATAACTGCTGGCATTTTTCAAGGTTAGCATTGCTCGTGTTGTGGAGTGCTGGCCAAATTCCAGTGTGAAGGGTTTATATAAAACCACTCTACGTTTCCGCTCAGCTGGCTCTGCTGAATACAGCGCTACATCACCCCTACATTCTCTTTAAGACACAATGAATGGGAGTGATAAAATGCATAAACACCTGACCAGCATATTAGGAAGTGTTAAAGATGGTTATAAGTCATCTTCTGGCTTACAACATTAGATAAGCATCATTGTTTATCACTTGTATGAGTATGTAAATATATATTTTTTTTAAATTTCAAGAGGGTGAAGTGGGTCTGAATGTTCATACAACTTCATTTCCTTTCCCAAACATTTATGGAACTCCACTGTGCTCTATCAGAGACTGTCATGACAACAATCATCTACCATGCTAAGGTAGAGCCCTGTTTTGAAGCCTTTTAAACAAACGAAATGTTAAAATGGCCAGCCAAAATGAGAAAGAGATGATTAAGTACTATAATTCATGTCCATTATGCTATCTGTAATCAAGCCATTATGGCTTCAAAGAACAAAACGACTGTTGTGGTACAAATGAAATGCAGAATTGATGCCTGGTACTTACTGGGTGTTTAGCCTGGTGTATTGCACCTGCTAGGAACATCTGACTACCTATATATGTTTATATTTGTATAGGTAGCTCCTCCAGGAACAGGAGATGCAGGAAGAATGATTAAAGCAGCTGCTTTGGAAATTAAAACAAAGAAGTAATGGGTAATCAGCTTTCTTATTTGGCTACTGATTTAAGAAAAAGATGTAGGACTTGTCAGGGACTCATCCTTCTCTACAAACCTCAGCGCTGCTCCCTACCTCACTACTTAACGAGTTGCCACGCATTGAACAGACAGTTTGGGTATAATTCCTAAAATGGGAAGAACTCACAGGAAGCGGATGGAAGAGGTCTCAAAATGAAATGGGTCTCAAGCTTTCTTTGAAAGGGGCAGTTCAGTTCACACAAATTAACACAATCATGGTTACATTCCAGTTCCCAGTCACTATCAACCCTAAATGCCTAAGAAATGTTCCAAGAATACGAGAAGCCATCAGAGTATGCTCATTTGACTTCTGTGCTGGTTTCTTAAGAAGCTCTTCCCTCAACAAACCTCTGAGGTGAGGAATTTGCAAAAGCCTAAACCTAATCACAAAGACTTATTTTCTGATTTGGTTTGTAATTTTGCAGCGTATCTCCTTCAAGTCTGGCACCGTCCAAACAAGACAGACTGGCTTGACTGAAAAACAGTGAGACAAAACTGTCAAACTCAAGCCTTTTCTGGAGGAAAGTCCCATTTGACATTCGGCAGAAATGTGCAAGCTACTGTAAGATAGAAAAGAAATTCTCTAGAAAAAGTAAAAAAGTTTTTGCTCCAGTTAACAAGTTCCTTTAGCACTCTCCAGCAATTAGAGGTGGACAGAAAGATGTATTTTAGGCTTCGTTTTACACTTACCCCCTGCACATATACTGGAAGGCTCTGCTGCCAGAATTTCTATACAGGATTTCTTCAAAATCTACAAGACAGAAAGAAGTCATGAAGCATCTCAGACTTGTTTCTATAGAAACACAAATCTGAAAGCACAGGAGAGGGGGTGTGCTGCTTGTCACGGAAATGTTTAACTCAGCATTGCGTTTCACATTCAAGTCACAATTAAACCATCTCAGCTTTTCACTTTAAACCAACCACAGTCACCGCTTTTCCACAGCAACGGCTGCTATGGAGGAAGGCAATGGATGCCAACGCTCTCCAGTATCTCAGCACACACTTGCTTTTGTCTGTGGTACAAGTTATTGTATAGACTATGATCCATAACATCTGAATGCTTACCAAGGCAATATCATTGCTTTCCCTTTGCAGTCACTACACCCTCCTCAGAATTATTCTGGAGCCCAAAACTCCAAACAAAATGTCACAAGTTTAAGCTATGTTGTTTACCTTTGCATCAAAACATCCTAGGAATATCTACAGCCACTTCTCAGGTCTCAGTACAGGGGTTCAAACTTCTTAAGTTTTTAGTCTGATCTGTGAGAGCACCTGAGTGCATCCTCAAAGCTGCACTGTAACTCCAAATCAAGATGTACGGATCATTGCTCTAAGCCAAACTAAAACTAAGCAGTATGTCTTCATACAGGTTGGCACTGCCTTTAACCACCTCATGTGTAGACAGTGATTTACACCAATACTTCAGCATCAGGCTTGGCACAGTGCTTGCAAGGCATGAGGAGCACACTGGAGTTGGATACTGAGTTGTATGGTGCTAAAATTGCTCAGCATCTGCTTATTTGCATGCAGCAGCCTTTCTCCTGCTCTCAAGACCATCCCAAATCCTTCACTGCACACAGACAAAGTTGTGAGTGTCCACAACCCCTGTGAGAACAGCAGCAGTGACCGAGAGCTGTGGGTGTTCAGCGCTGGGCCGAGCAGCCCCTACACATCAAAATTTAGGTCAGCTCTAAGAGGCAAGTAAATGTCAGCCAAACATCGTGACTCAAATCCAACATGAAAATTATTTTCCCAACTTTAAATTGAAACATCTGTAAGGAAAGAATAGCAACCAATACAATACAAAAAAGATAAACTATTTTTTCTCCAAAATCATGGCCCTCTGCCTCAAATACCTAATTTCAAAAGGTACAGATGAACTTATGATTTGATTTTTAAAATGTCTAAACAGAAGTTGGAGTTACTCAGAAGCAGGGCTGGTAGAGACAGAGAGTACCAAGGGACTGGAGAAGCCAGGACCGTCCGAGCTGCTGGCAGCCTGACAAGTGAGGAGAAAGGAAATTTGCAGGAGCAAGGTTACACAGGAACTGTCAAGGGGAAAAAAAGAGAAAGTCAACAGTAGAGAACTGCAAAGCATTAGAAGAATTTGAAAGGCAGAATAAGAAAACACACAAAAAATGGAAGACTGTAAGAACACTCTTCCAAAGCATCGGTCTGTAGCTATCCACCCATCCATCCATCCATCCATCTATCCACTCATCCATCCATCCATCCATCCACCCATCCATCCACCCATCCACCCATCCATCCATCCATCCACCCATCCATCCACCCACCCATCCATCCATCCACCCATCCTTCCATCCATCCACCCATCCACCCATCCATCCACCCACCCATCCATTCACCCATGCACCCATCCATCCACCCATCCACCCACCCATTCATCCACCCACTCATCCACCCATCCATTCATCCACCCATCCATCCATCCATCCATCCACCCATCCACCCATCCTTCCATCCATCCACCCATCCACCCATCCATCCACCCACCCATCCATTCACCCATGCACCCATCCATCCACCCATCCACCCACCCATTCATCCACCCACTCATCCACCCATCCATTCATCCACCCATCCATCCATCCATCCATCCATCCACCCATCCACCCATCCATCCATCCATCTCCTGTCAGTCCTTTACTGCCTGCCCTTACTCATCCCAGGTTCTGCTGCCCTGAAGATAAAGCGTGTTTCTCCCCAAAGTGACTGCCAGGGCTAATGAGCACAACTGAGAGTTGGTGTTTTCCCAAGTATTTTTTCTTGCAGCTGAAAAATGTCTCTAAGAGGAGGATACTTTCACATTTTTCCAAATTCACCCTTAGATTCTGTTCTGCTCTCCCTCAGCATCCCCAGAAGTTTTAAGATCTGTTTCTTCTCGCTGCCTTTCAGCAATGAAGTGAAAGAGAAGTAGGCAAGTGAGCTGGAGAACAAATGCATGAAAAAGACAATCAATAATTTACTTTTGAAACAAATCAAGTAAAACCTCAGCTGATTGAGTTTGAAATTCATGACTTCTGTTCAGTCATTTGCAAACATTCATTCTGTAAGCCAGCTTGGATGGAGGGGTGGGATAGCAGGTGTCTCAATTAGATGATGCAGAGCTCCCAGTCCAATCCATTTGCATCACTATAAAAAGCTGGCTTTAATGGCTTTTTACAGTGCCAACTGCAATATTTATTTTGATTTAGAATAATATTTCCAACGCTTCAGGCACTCACCCTAACTTAAGGTGAAAATCAGGCACCAGTAACTATTGCAGAAGAGTTCCTTCATGTCTCTTCCTTTTATAAAAACACAAATACAGCCCTTCAAAAAGGAAGGATATCCGACAGTGTACATGGGAGAATGGGCTTCGCATCCTCATTTTCACAGGAGAAACACCACAGCTCTGGTTTATTTGGTAACCAACTGCAGGCCTCAAGGCAGCTTTGCCTCAGCATCCACACAGAAGAGTATGTGAAACACGTGCTCGCTTTTGGTGAGGAAGCATCGCGTTGTCTTAATGACCATGCTCAGACTCCCAAATCAATCTCCTGTTTTCCTCTATGGGGCTCCAATTATTCTCCAGCTCCTGGGAGAGTCTCTTGTTAATATTTCGTTGACAAGACAAATTTAAAAAAGATGCAACACATCCTTTATGTGTCACAGTCACCTCTATCAGGACAGCACTGGTTTTAGCCCTACCTGTGACTAATTTAGCCTTCTGCCAGGCAATGCATTAAAGGCCAGGAGCCAGGAGAGGCCCTGGAGGTCACCCAGGCCCTTTTAGAAACCAGAGAAGAAGGGGAGTGAGATTTTGCAGCTGCTGGAAGCTTTCCTTTGGTATTCTGGTCCACAAGCATCCAGACAGATTACTTCACCACAGCAGCTGCATATTTCTTATAATTTTTTTTTCCACCAAACTTGGGAATTCTAATTAGCAAACAGGATGCTGGAGTTTAATCGAAGGTTACTGCTTAATCAGTGCTAGGGCAAGCGACCTGCAGTCTGGGGCTAGGTACTCATTATCAGACTCTGCTGAATTACTAAATAACAAAGTCAGTTGCCAATTACAAAACAGCAATTTCTTTATTAAGTGTTTCCTGTCTAATATCTGCATGAGCTAAGTAAAATAAATAAATTTAAGTCCTATTTGAAGATGCATTTGGGGAAGGAAGAAGTAGAAAGCGTGATCATATAGCAGTAAATGTAATGAGAAACACGATACAGTTGGGACAGGGGGTTCACATCCTCTGCTGTAGATGGATACGGTGGCTACCCAAGCCAAGAGGCTCAAGTAGCTGCCTTTCTTTTTGGCCTATGTAGAAAGCCTGGCTCTAACAGAAGACAGATTCAGAATATCTATGGATGCTCCTGCTCCGAATTGCCCTCTGGAGATCCCATCCTTCCTCACTGGCTGCAGCAGCTCCCAGCTCGCTGACCCTGGGCAGTGAACCCTTAAAACCCAGGCTGCACGTTAGCAGTACGGCAGACAGCTGGATTAGACATTTTGTGTGCATTTTGCACATACAAGACGTGTCTTGCAAAGGAATTAACTTTCTCTCCTCTCTCTCACCCATTCATGGCGCCTCAGACCCTCTCCCCGTTCCAGGGAATACACAGTTTATCTATTTGCAAGCGAAGTTTGAACAGTTCAGGATGAGTATGGAAAAGCATCACCACATTTCTCATACTTCATCTATCAGACGCTCACGTCAAGTTCTCACAAAAGTTACCATGCTCTACATTATCCAGCACTGCAGTTTGTCACAGAAAACATCTGTGTAACAAAATTATTCAGAGAGAGTCTATTTCCAAACTAAGATTTTTTTGGAGTGCAGGAATACATTGAACTGCCACAATTCTAGAAACTGAGGCAAGACCTGAACAATACTGAGGGTAAGTGGGCACCTCTGCAGGATGATCCAAAAGGAGTACACAGGAAATTAAACTTAAAAGGATGAATCATTTGCACAATTTAAACCTGTAGGAGACAGTCTCATAAACTAGTTCATACTACTGTATTTCTTATACATCACAACTGCTTCATGAGGCGTCCTGCAGCTCACTCAGAGAATCCTAAGGGATTTCACATCTCAGTTTGAGATAAACTCCCAGCCAGTGCTGCTGTAACCCGTGGCAAGGATCAGGGAGCTTCTTGTTCCAAGTGACTGCTCTTTCACAAAGCAAAGCAAGGACAAGATCCCATCCTGACTTTCATGTTGCTTCATGTTCCATTGCCTCCAGCACTCCTACCAAAGAAACACCGAGCAGTAGAAGCTGAGTTTCAGGTTTTTCTTCTAAGACTTGCTCCACTTGCTCTAAATTGACAGGTTACGATCTGCAGAAATTGTTCACAGCAAAGAAATTCAATAAATTACTTCAGCTCTTTCCATTTGTTTCCCAGCTCACAGCAATCAGATGTCCATTTCTCTACCAGATCCTTCCCTCCTAACAAACTCAAAATCCCCATTAAACATTGGGCAAGCTGCTGTTTTAGCAGTGGCTTTTTCACAATAAGGGAGAAAAAGCAATTGGTTTGTTTAATAAAAAAGTCACACCGGAACTCACAGGAGGGAAAGGACCAAAACCTACAGGGCACTGCATACCTTCAGCTCCCACTTTAAGAAGCATGGTTTTAAGCATTACTTCAGCACGGGACTGCATTTTCAGCTCATTTGCAGACCCACCGCACTGAACTTCTTTGCTCAGCAGATGCAGAGGCCCAGCAGAGGCCAACCTCAAGCTCACCGCTCCCAGCTCCCACCCTTTTCCTCATTCCAGAGAGGCTTCTACCTCCACCACCTCTGCACACACACAAGAGATCCACTCTTCAAGACAAGGGAAGGAGGGAAGAGTCAGGCGCCTCAGCGGGAATACAGGGCAGTTCACACCAAATCACTGCAGACTGGAACACACCCAGGTCTCACACCTTGAGTGATTTCCAACACTAATCTCCCCCAGGCTCATCATTTCATCTCTCCTTCCCCTGTTATATCAGCCAGGAGGTGGTAGCCTGACCAAGCGCCTCTACACATGACTGAGCATCCTTGCTACACCAACTCTTACACAGGAATTGAAAGACGCTTCCAAATCTCACGGCCCTTTCTACATTAAAATGCTTTCCTGTGACCTCAAATGTTTGTTTGTTTGCTCCAAGACAGAAGCACTTTGCAAGGACAAGAAAAGAAGGAGTGAGGGAGCTTATTTTGCAGCTAGAACAGGAATCTACAGATGCTTCATTATTCTACAGAGCAATTAATGACCTTCATACCATTTCTTTTACACATCTCCAATCTCATCCAGCAGGTCGAGGGAGATGATTCTGCCCCCCTGCTCTGCTCTCGTCAGACCCCACCTGCAGTGCTGTGTCCAGTTCTGGGGCCTCCAACACAAGAAGGACATTGAAGTGCTGGAGCAGGTCCAGAGGAGGCCACAAAGATGCACAGGGGCTGGAGCACCTCCCCTACAAGGACTGGCTGAGAGAGTTGGGGTTGTTCAGCCTGGAGAAGAGAAGGCTTCGGGGGGACCTTATTGCAGTCTCCCAAGGGCTACAGGAAAGCTGGGGAGGGACTTTTTACAAGGGCAGGTAGCGATAGAATGATTTTTAAACTGGTAGAGGGGAGATTTAGACTGGATATTGGGCAGAAATCCCTCCCTGTGAGGTGGTGAGGCCCTGGCCCAGGTTGCCCAGAGAAGCTGTGGGTGCCCCCTCCCTGGCAGTGCCCAAGGCCAGGTTGGACGGGGTTTGGAGCAGCCTGGGCTGGTGGAGGTGTCCCTGCCCATGGGGGTTGGACTGGGGGAGCTTTGAGGTCCCTTCCAACCCAAACCACACTGTGATTGTATTGAAAGCACTCCACTCAAATGCATGCACTCAGATCACAGATTCATTGCTGTACAATCACTCTTCCTTGCTACCCTCCTCTCCAGGGCTGGTAAATCTCACACCAGGCAGCTGAAGCAGTTCTTGACTGGGTTCCCTGAGGCTGAAATCTTCCCATTCTGTTTAATGTAACTGGAAAGGGAGTCAGGACTGCTCCTGGAATTCATTAAAAACAGCTGCAAAGGGAATGCAGGACTGGGAATTAAACGAGGGTGTTTTTTGCTGTTTTGTTGCTTTCTGAAATGACATGCAGCACCTGATTGTCCAAGAGAATTAAGGCAGTAGCCCCACACTTGGACAGTGCCAGGAAAACCAGTAAGGGATTTATTCCATCCACACACAAGAGCACTGGGGAAAATAGAGCCTGCGCTGAGGGAACAGTTTTGCTTGGTACTTCACAGTCAGAATAGTGTGTAACCCCCCTAAACACAGAAATTTGAGACACCCCCCGGATTAAAGCTGTGTATTTCACCTGTGTTTTATCAGCTAAAAAGCCTTTAACAAAATGAACAAAACACATGTCCTCACAAGGATGTCCCATCCTTCTTTGTAGCCATGGGAAGCAATCTAATTAGAACAGTTATGGGATATGACTGAGCAAAAGGAACAGAAAAATACTGAAATCTACCTGAACACATTGTTTCCTAGTGAACACTTAGTACATTTTACACTTCTAATGAAAATGGCACACACATCCTCTCATGCAATGCCTTTCTTGCTCAGTGAAGGGAAGTGTTGGTCCTAGGTGAGACACTATGAGGCTACTCAAAGTTTTAAAGCTAGAAACAGGGAAGCCTCATGAGTTGTCCTTATTTCCCAGTAAAGACCATGGAGCCATTTGCGTGACTTGTGAACACGGGAAAATTAAACCTTCAACTGTGCAAGCTAACACAAACTAACATGCACACATGCAAACACACAATTAAATGTACTTACAGAGTCTATAATCCCCTGAAGGGCTTCAAAACCATCGTTCACTGGAAAGACATGATCTTTGCTGTCGGCAATTCTAGCCAGCTGACAGAGCGGTAAAAGAAAATAAAAGAGAAATGCAAAGAATGAGATAAATTAGCCAGCAGGCAGCAAATTAAGACTTCTCCAGATTCATCCACTTGCAAGTAAAAAACCCAAATATTTCAAGTACTCTGTATAGATTGCCAGTGTGTTATAGTTTGTCAAGCATTTAAAAGTTTCTTTCTTTACCCTAAATGATTTTAGAAAGCTTTGTATCAGGAATCAGAAAAGGCTTCCCTTAACTTTGAAGGCAATCACACACAGAATCACACAGAATCACTCGGCTGGAAAAGCCCTCTGAGATCACCATGTCCAACCGTTCCTGTCTACCCCCTAAACCATATCCCTAAGTACCTCATCTACCCGCTCCTTAAACACATCCAGGGATGGTGACTCCACCACCTCCCTGGGCAGCCTGTTCCAACAAGACATAAAGTGGCTTTCACTGATGGCCCAGAACCCAATGATCTTTATTGCAAAATCCATCTCTCCCACCTGACTGTAAATCATCCAGGACAGTAACTCCCCAGCCAAAGTAGGCCACAGCATCATCACGACAGGACTAATGCAGCAAAACATTTCAGCACATAATCAATTAAACCAGAGAGCTAATCAAAGTGATTCAGTATTTTCCCATCTAGAGAAGACTAATGTGAATTACACCCCATCTGGAGATACAGGCCTGATTCACCTTTCCTGAGATTGACCATTTGTCCTCAGCTCAACCACGAGAGAGCCAAGAAGACAGCAGGGAGCTCACTGGAGATAGTTTCCAAGTGGAAGGAAAGAGGTAGCAGAAGAGCACTTGGAACATGACAAATAAGAGGATCATTCATGTGGCGGTGATAAGATAAGGGGAACCAGGACATCACCTGTAAATAGCTACATGCAGGTTCACTTGTCAATGGCACGCCAAGGGTTAAGGCCAAACTCTAAGCCCAATTCAGAAGTAATGAGCTCTCCATGCATCTGCTGGAGCAGAATCAGTTTTACTGCTGCAAGGCCAGCGTTTGTTATAGCAATTCTCTCCCATGGCAGAGGCAGCACCAGCCCAGCAGGCCTCTCTGGCGTTTCCTGTAGCATTGCAAATTGGAGGCAGCAAAGCAGCCACACATTCCTCCCCAAACCCCATGGGCTCCACCTTTCCAGCTCCTGCCACTCCAAACCCCCACTTCTCCAGCTAAACACCAAACTGCCAACCTCCTGCTTTGCATCCAGAGTAATATCCAGGCAACATTCCCCTTCCTGGTCCAAGAAGGGTGTTAAAGCTGCTCACTGCTTGTTGGCCAAAATACAGCAGCTTCTGTAGACCAGGATGTTTACAGTTTCCCCATAGTCCTCCTCCTAATGCAACCTGGGACTTCAGGAAGTCGTTTAAATCGGGTTAATTTCTTCAGCATCTCAATGACTTCACGTAGCAGCTGCCTTTGGGGTCTGCTACTTTAGATCTAGTCTCTTTGCCATTTTTATTGCCCCTTTGCTTTTTCTATGACTTACTCTGGGTCACACCACTCTCTGGTTTTGACTCAGAGGAGATTGTTCTAAACCAAGTTTGTTTTGACTCCTGGAAAAGCTCTACTCAGTATTTCAGCACTTCACTTAGGGACTGTACAAGCGTTTCACTCTTGTTAGAAAAATATAATGTCAACTGTTACATTTGGTGTGAAACGTAATTCAGGGACATAGTAATGTTGATATGATGAATTTAGAAGACAGACTATCAGATGGGAAAACACTAAAATAGCAGTGTCACTAATGAAGCTGTTTGCTTTTTACAGCATAGTTTTCCTGTGAAAGAAAAGCTGGACTCAAACTGAAGTGTTATATGGTAATATCGCAATTTTATGAGGAAAAAGAAGTCCCCACAACCTTTTTCCTGCCTACAGCTTAAGTCAGACTGATCTGCAACTCTTTATGTGTCTTTTTCCTCTGCTTCTCTCCACCATTAGCAAGAGCCATTGTGGCACGCAGACAGAGGGACAGCTCTCCACATATGGAGATTTAGATAGAAAGGGTCTTAAACCCAACACCCAGACGAAGACACTTTAGACTGTAAGTCAAGAGACGGAGGGGAAGACCACTTGAAAAGTTTTGAGAAAGTGATTCAGGAGCATGCACCTTTGCCAAGCACCTCTAAACACAAATGTCTCCTTTACCTGGGTCTCATTGAAGTCTTTCACACCAACGCAATACACTGTTGCTCCCAGGTCACGCGACCGATTAGCCTGGAATAAGGACAAGTAGGATGAAATGGATGCAAATGTGATGGGATGCAGATTTCTGAAAGGTCTTATTCATAAATTTAGTCTCTCTCTGTAAAATGAACAATGGGGGTCACTTGTCAAAAGAGCTTTAAAAGCTTTCTTCCCTCATTCTGCAAAACCAGGTTTTATCTGTTCCTAGAGCAGCTACTTGTTTAATAAAGCAAAACCCAAGGTATTAGGTGGGGAATTTTTAAACCTAATTAGATGACCTTCCTAGCTACTCCAGCTTCCTAACATTTGTCTGTCCAACAGATGTAAGAGATTAAATCCATTTTCTTTTCATTATTTAGGACACATCCCAGTGTAACAGTAACCAGTAACTATGATAGTATAACAGTAACCTAAAACATTTGGTATTTTCTATTTCAGCCATGTGTGCCTGGACTCACAATATCCATAGATGAGGAGACATTTCATTCCATCTGCCAGCACAATATCACTCCCACTACTTACACAGCATCGCAAAGTAATAAAGGGGTAACATCCACAGCTTTGATTTAATTTCATTGACATGCAGATTACTATTCGAGTGCATTTACTATTCAAGAAGCAACTGCTCTAAACGCTCTTGCCTGCATAAGTATGAAGTAATTTAATCACATTTATTAGAGCAGGAACACCTGACTGCAAGCCCATTCCCAGAAAGGATGGTAGCAAGTCAGATTATATCAGAAGGCTGTAGTCGCTCACATTGGCAGATAGAAAAGTGCTTTACAGGAAAAGCATCATTCCAGATTTACACCGAGAAACTTACACCCAAGCTGAAGCAACTCACAGCGTAAGAGCAGAGTTCAGGATCTCTGTTCCACCAACTCACTGACTCTTCCTCCCCAAACCAAAACAAAAACAACACTTCTGACCTCTCAGCTTGTTCCTTCACCTCTGAAACAAATTGATCTTTCATGTGGATTTTTTATTTCGGAGGAGATAAACAGTAAGGAGGGGAACTCTGGATTCATGAAATTTGTTTGTGCTGTAGTAACATTGGTTTTTATTCTACAAAACCTTGATTTTTGTTGTTATTGGATCTAAAGCTGCATTTTGGATGCATTGAGAGGAAAAATTCTGTCTATAGTGAATTCACGTAATAATACCATCTTCCAAGTTTAGGTCATCTTAATTTGTTTGACTGACAGGTGAAAATTGGGTCATCTCTTCAAAAGGACATGAGTAGGAACATTATACAACAGGGCTTAACCTACTGTTTATCTGACATTTTGCATGATACACTGATTTAGTGAGGCTGGTGAGAATATATGCTTGAATCTTGGAAATATTTGTGGAAATGTCACATTTAATCATCTGAAAGGCTTTCAGATGCAATGGAAGATTATAGGAACAAGAGTCATCCTCTTTGAGGTCTTTAAATTTTGTGAAAGAAGCAAAGTCAAAGTGAGAAGACTTGGATATTTCCCAGAATATCCAGTAAATACCGAAGTGTTGCAGCTGTGAACTATTCCTTCCTCTGGGCTCTCCTCTTGTTTTTTAACTGTTAGTTTAAGCCTCCCTCCACTTCTATGAACAGTCTCAGTCTTGATGAGTCAGGAGCAGTTCTGCTGTTAATGTTTATCCTTAAAATTCACATCCAAAGAGCACCAAAGGGAAGTTTTGTTACTCGGGAAAAAGGTTTTCCCTATCTTTTGCCTCCAAAGCAAAAGTGTCCCTGACTAAAAATGTGTAAGAGACTCACCTCCCTCTCAGAGTAGAAAAACAGGTCTTCGTGGAGTTCTCCATCTGTCAACGCAATGATGACACTTGCAGTTCTGTAACCTAAATACACAAAGTCCTTTAGTACCTTGGGTTTGAGTTGTATTTGTCAAACTAGCCTAGAAAACATCCTGCCAGCGACCTGGTAGCACACTTAAAGGACCAGAAACAGCGGACATCAAGCCCGTGTCTTGTATCTGTATCTCTCTCCAGCCAACAAGTTTTCAGAGGACATGAATTTCTGCATATTTTTTCCTTCAACACCATTTTTACACCACACTCCAGTGATTTTTAATGGCAGCCTCTCATAACTACTTCAATATTTCAGGCCAGTAGATTAGATTGCAGCCATCAAATAAACAACGCAAAGCGTTTCTAGTTATTTCCTGATTTTATTAATGCTGTCAGTTCAATAAATCCAGGGATTTTTTTTTCCAGCTTGTGATAAAAGGCTTAATAGGGATTAAAACAGATATGGTAGGAAAATGGCCTAAAATCTTCACTCTTCCTGTGTAATGTATTTGAGCAACACAGTTAAACCTTGCAGTCCTCCCCTCGTATTGATTATAGCTTGGGTTTTACAAGTCTGTGTTTGTTTTCCGGAGTGGCCAGATAGAATTAATTTGTATTTCAGACAACAGACCTGCTACTGATCTGCAGGAGCTCTGCAGGTACATCTTGTGCAAACACTGTTATGGAAAGATAAAGGCTAAATATGTGAAGGCGCGTAAATTACCAACCTTTACATTCCTTTAAACATCTAGGGCATTTTCCTGCCATTACAAGTAGCTGTGCCTTTAACAAGCTGTTGCTGAAGAGACAAAAATCCAAGCAAGCAACTTCTTCAATTACTGCAGAACAGAGGTCTGAGGCTTAACTTTCTCAGTACCACTTAGAGATCTCCAAGGTGAAATAACGTGATAATGATGCACTGAGAAAGTCAAGCGCCTGACAAGTGATAAGCAACATGCAGGGTCATTCATGTTGAGATGCCTAATTTGAGCACCTAGGCTCTTGCTGTCGGAAACGGAGAAAGGCAAGCACTTCTTGTACAAACTTAGGAGCCCCAATGACCTCCCGAGGTGCCTTTCTCCATCCGTCGACTCCTGCAGGAGCCTTAGGACCCACTGCAGAGGGTGTAAATGCTCCCTCAGCAGAGCAAGGACAAGCACACAGAATTAATAAAGACAAAACACACAGGTGAACATTCAGACTTGAGGACCCAGTTGTCCACTGCTTCTTGCATGTGGTGGTAACTCGTTACATGTAATACATATACCAAGCATTATTGATCCCAAATCAAGTTGTTCTAGCCATCTACTCCATTCTGCTGCAGCCATATTTTACAGATGAGTCCCAAAGCTCTGCAGGCTTAGTCATTACTTCATTTTATTCATGAGTGGCCCTGCGTAACCATTAGGACTGGCTTTGTACTCGAACATCTGCTCACCTATCTTTTGGATGCCAAGAAGCAATGTTTATATTTCTGCTTCAGGCTCTGCAGTGCAGAAAGTTTTTACATTAATTACAAAGAAGGAAATGACAAACATTTTTAGTTATCTGCACTTACTACTGGTTTAAATAATTGCTTATTGAAAAAAAATCTTTTACTTAACAGCAACTCCACATGTTTCGGAAGGAAGAAGCAATGGTTACCTGAGTCCTCAAGCAAAAAGAACAAGATAGGGTAACAGAGAGTTTTGTTAGGAGTAGGCATCTTCATTCAACCTGGCTTTTAATTTTTGGCCTGAAATATTCATTCCAGCTCTGGATCCTTAAAGCTCCACCTGTTCTTTTTCCTTTTCAGGAACACCTACCCTGAACAGCATTGCATTTCTGTAAGAATAGGAGCCACCCCCCATCTTCCCCACAGCGAAGCTGCATTTCAAATCTATTAGAGTTATCAGTCAAAAGGAAAGAGAAAAAAAAACATTCAATGGATCAAGAAAGTCTCTCACCGTGAACATTTTCGTAGTAAATCTGTTCACTTGCCTGAAATTAAATCAGAAAATTATTAGCAATAAATTAATAACACTTTGTGGGCATCTACACACGCACCAGAAAGAAAGAGAGGGTGGCAGTGAGGATGTCAGGCGTGTAGCCTGCACACAATCTCTGCTTTCGGAGCAATCTGCTTCACAGAACAGGTTTATTGCCTATGGTTTTGGTTGTGACACTTCAAGGTCTTATCTAAAGCATAACTCAGTCAAACCGACTCTGAGGCCTCTGGCCAGCAGTAATGGAGTGTCTCACTATTCTGCTATCTGAAAATCACGTTCACCTTCCTTCTTGAGAAACTTCCAAGGTTCATTGAGAAATGTTCCCCAGCATCTCTAGATCAATTACTCTCATTGCAACTAAACCATCTGCAGAGAGATGTTCTTATGCTCCTGTCTCTCACTTGATCTATACACACGCATGTTCTGTAAGGTAGAAGGGCTTCAGTGTGCATTAAATCAAAATTAAAATGGGGCACACTGAACATATTTGGCTTATGAATTTCACTTCTGTTCCAAATTTAAATTTGGTTTTTTGGACTTCTGCAAAGTTTCTGAATTCACCAAGCTCTGGGATCTAGTTCTGGATTCCTAATGAAGAGCCGGGATCTCTGCGAAATCACCTGAATTTTCATTGTGTGTTCACATGCATTTTCAATAGGCAGACAGCTCCACAATCCTCCCAAATGCATGTGAACTAGTGAAGTGGGAGAGTGTTCAGGAGTTTAGAGAAAGTCCAGAGCTTGTAGAAAAACAGGAGAAGATCAGAGCGGGCAATGACTTCTGCACAGCATTATTTGCCCACCAGTGAGAACAGGTTAGAGTCATGGCCTCAGCCCCCACTCAACCCTAACAAGTCTGCTATAGCACCCATGCAGGACCCTAGGCAGCTTTCCACCCTTCATTGGTGCGGTTCCATGGGGGATTGCAATGCCAGAGCCTCCTGCCTTGTCCTAAGTGGAAAAGGCGGCTTCCCCCATCAAAACTGAAGGTAAAAAGAAAGATAAGCAGTTGGGTTTGCAGCTTTTTTATACCAGCTCCAACACTCAACATGTACACTTCAGTGTACATATTGCATAAAGGGAAATAGCCCTGCTTACCTACCAGAGAATTATTAACCAGATTCCTATGTTTAACATTTCCTGAGGAGCACCCAGACACAGCTTAGAGACACCATAGCACCCATCTGCTCACCCTTTCGAATCCTTCATGCATGTATGTGTCACCTCCTGGAAGGACTTTCTGCAGCTCTTCCAGACCCTGGCGGATCTGTTCCCTGAAATGAATGTAAATGCATTGTTAGAGCCAAGATCAAATGTATCAGGAGCTGATATCCATGACATGCATGGCAGAGTCAGGTACAGAGAGGGGAAATAAACAGTTAACCCAGTGTTTATACAGACTAAGGTAACATCTGGGTAAAGAGACCTTTCTAAGGGTGTGGAAAATAGAGCAGATGTACTCCCAGTGTTCCTACAGCCTGAGGAAAGCATCACAACAGCAGCATCTCCTAGGTCAATATCCATACACTTCTTTCTAAATAAATATTCCCTGTGCAACCCTGACCAAGCCTCTGATGCAGAAGCAGAGCATCTGACTTGCACCTGGCTCACTTTCCTCACATACACTGGCTGACTTGACTGTACAAATGCAATCAAACAGCCACAAAAAGTGACATCATCTCAAACCACCCTGGCAACTCCAGTTTATTTTGACATTACACCTTCAATTCCTGTTCAAACAGACGGAGATTAAAGCCTTTCCAAGTAGCTCATTATGATCCAGGGTATATGTTTTATTTTTTTTAGAAATCCCAGGCACAGTGACAGATCAACTGAAGGCTAAATAGGGTGGGCAAACATTTGTTGTTCCACTGAGTTGCAGACGCCAAGCTCTGGAAGCCAAGTCTGGGCCAGAAATCTTTAATACCAAGATAAAACCCTGCAATGTGTGGGCAAACTACCTAATCTTCTTGGGAAAAAGATTAAGTCACTGCATGGACCACACTGACATTGCAAGACTGAATGCCAGAAGTCAGTTTTGTCCCTGCATCAGTTACCTACTTCAGAAAATCCAGTTTGTGAGATCATCACATACTCCACCTCACATCTGTGAGGCTGATTGCAGCAGAGCATTAACATTACCCATTCTACAGAGCAGTAACTCCTACAGGGAGAAAAGAGTATCTGCTTTTGCAATAGGTTGAATTATCAAACATTCAGGAACTCATTCTGTACCTGCAATAGCTCAAACCAGTTAGACACTGAGCTAACTGTGTTACACAGTGGGCTAGGGGCAGACATTTCCTCCATTCAGCTACCTGTGCACATACTAAGCCAGATGAATAAAAAAGTCAAGAGCATTTCCTGTGATCAGAGTTATTTTTCAAATGTGAGCACTGAAATGTTAAAATAGATAGCAGAGCTCTGTGAAAGATGTCAATCCAGTCCCATTAGATGCACAGAGATCTTCCAAAAGGGGTGCCAGGCACCCTCAATCTTCATGTTCAGATGCTAATAGATCACATGGAGGCATAGGCAAAGTAGAAAAGGGGCTGCCACTATTCCAGCTTTCCTATTAAGAAAGGCCAGTTTTAACTAAAGGACAAGCATGAAGCCCCCCCCTTGTTTGTCAGTCCTCAGATAAAAATCAGCAGCTCTCCATCAGACGATTTTTAGACTAACACTGTATCAATATCCTGTTCCCAGTCAACATTTCTAGGACAGCTGGGTAAATATGAAATACATTTCCACATGGGAAACACTGAAGTCTCATAGCTTAGAGCCTTAACATACTCAAGATCCTTGCAATGGGGTGCACTCACAGGGTGGGAGATGAAAAGAAGCAGAGAACAGGTTTTCCTCTGGCACCAAGACATACGTGGTTAGTTTTCTTTATACTGATTGCTGCAGTAAGTGGCAAGAGATGCTTTGACTGGCTGGGTTTAACAGCATTTTTCAAGGTTGGTATGTATGTGGACTGATTTTAGGAAAGTGGCCAGTTTCCTATTCATTCCTCTATAGTAGCTGCTCTGGTATGCAATTTCATAGACATCCAATATGTAAAACACATGCTGGCTTATACAGTCTTCACATGTGTTACATATATTTTTGCTCCACGTGGCAATGAAGTTAACAGAGGAAGCAAGTGCGATTAAAGGACCTCATCCAGCTCTCCTTAAAGTCCGAATAAAACAAAAAAATCCATCGCATAGATTTTACCGAGATTAATTTAAGGATCTACAAGGGGATGGCAAGAACATGCTTCAGAAATATGGCAATCAAACTGTCATTGCCAAAAAATACACAATCCACACTGAACACTGTTTGCCTAGAACATACCTTCAGTCCTCCTAAGAAATCATGCTCCCTGCTACTTCAAGAGTATGGGTATCACCTACAACTTTCAAGGTTGTTTTCATGGGAATGGAGTTTCACTCATTTGTTTGCAGAAGAAACTCCCCAAGGATGTTTCAAAGGCAACAAAGCTCTGTGGAAGGCAGACTCCTTCAATGAAAGCTGTTTAAGTTAGAACCCTAATCGCTGATGTTAGAAGTTAAAATGAAGTTAAAATTAAGAAGACAACCTCTGCCTTCAGAGGCTTTAATGCCTTCTAGCAGAGTGGGTGCCATAGGTGAAAATAGGCAGGTGAGTCAAATTGAGAAGCACAAAGGTGTCATAACATTGACACGGTGGACTGGAAATAATTGAGCAAGGACAGGGAAAGAAACTACAACAAGGACACAAAAGCTGCTGTGCACCTTCAAGCCTCCTCTTACCTGTCTTCTGTTAACCTCATTAGAATTGTCCCTCTAGTTGAAAAAACGATGAAGGACATCCTCAGCTGAGGGCTGGAGGAGGAGAGAAAAAAGAAAATGATTTTGGTGGTCTGGACCAGAGTTTACTGTTTGTGCAACACCAAACACACAGGGCGCTCCGATTGCTATCCAGATTATGACTGTACAGGATGAAAGACGGGACTGAGCAGCACAAGGTGGCTTGCCCTGGGCTTTCCCAGTCAAGGCAAACCATGAGGAATCCTAAAAGATGTAAATAGCACTTGTATCATGACCTTTGCATTGCTAAAGCAAGAAAGGCTTGAGTACATCCTGGTATCACCACGGAGACGAAGGAAAGATAATTATGTTTATCATAACACATCCCACCCACTGGCCTGGGGGATTTTTCATCATCTCAAGGCATTCAGTGCCTGAAAGCCACAGCCTCAGGCTGCTCCCTGCAGACCCAAAACTCTGTCCCTCAGGCAGTAGCAGCCACCTCAGCAACTAGAGGATTCCTTCCCCATAAAAACACACCATGGAAGTCAGGCAGGGAAAAATAGGGAATAATTAGCTTATCTACTCCTTTTTCCTGCATGACAGAAATCTGGGGAAAAGCAGTCAATGGGATGATGTGAGAAAAGCCTTAATAACTCCATCCACACCAGGGGACTGGCACCAGCGTGTGCTGCTGCACTGCAATGGAGAGCTCGGCTCCTGGCTGCTGGCACACACACACATCCTCACCCCGTTATCTGCAGAGCAGCACTTCTTACCTTATGAACTTGCGGGCCAGATGCTCCACAAAATGATATATTTCATTCCAATGGTGCAGGACACTTCCTGATCTAGGGAAACAATTATTACAGGAGATATTAGTTTAATTGCTGCTACTGTAGTTTTTCCAGCCTAGTGTTTTGTTACACATTGCTTAGCTAGCAATTTGGTTTTGTTTTGTTTAAAACTCGCTGTCCATATTTTTCCTTTAAAGAGATATTAAACTGTAAATGACATTTCCTACTTAACTTGGAAAAGCAAGAATAATTCACACTCCACGCAAGTGTTTGAGGCTACACTTGACAAAAACATATGGTAGTTACGCAGGACCTTTAGCACAGCCCTAAGCAAATAAACCCTGTGTGAGTGAAGACCTGTCTCTCTGCACAGCATTTTACATTAATTCCACCAACTCACTTGCCATACCATTATGCAGAGCTTTTATCTCAAGTGTATTTTGAGAACAACATGCAGTTGGAGGAACAGATTATTAAACTTCTCCAGCACTTCCACCGGAGACTATGAAGAGTAAAACACCGCAGGTCCACATCTGAATTGTTCTGGCTCTTTCTTTCACACCTTAGTTAAAGGCAAAACAAACCAATTTTGCTCCTCAGGAAAATAAGCTATGGACTATAATGGGACGGGATTATCGCAGAATCACACAGAATCCCAGACCGTTAGGGATTGGAAGGGACCTCCAAAGCTCATCCAGTCCAATCCCCCTGCCGGAGCAGGAACACCCAGATGAGGTTACACAGGAAGGCGTCCAGGCGGGTTTTGAATGTCTGCAGAGAAGGAGACTCCACAACCTCTCTGGGCAGCCTGGGCCAGGGCTCTGGCACCCTCACTGAGAAGAAGTTTCTTCTCCAATTGAAGTGGAACCTCCTGTGTTCCAGTTTGTGTCCGTTACCCCTTGTCCTATCATTATTTCTCACCAAGAAGAGCCTGGCTCCATCCTCGTGACACTCACCCTTGAAATATTTATAACCATGAATGAGGTCTCCCCTCAGTCTCCTCTTCTGCAAACTAAAGAGCCCCAGCTCCCTCAGCCGCTCCTCAGAAGGGAGATGCTCCACTCCCTTGATCATCTTTGTAGCCCTACGCTGGACTCTCTCCAGCAGTTCCTGTCCTTCTTGAACTGAGGGCCCAGAACTGGACGCAATATTCCAGATGCGGTCTCACCAGGGCAGAGTAGAGGGGCAGGAGAACCTCTCTGCCCTACAACCACCCCCTCCTGATACACCCCAGGATGGCATTGGCCTTCTTGGCCACAAGGGCACAGTGCTGGCTCATGGTCATCCTGCTGGCCACCAGGACCCCCATTCTTCTTTATATTGTAAGAGTGAGGAAAAAATTAGGTTAATCAGAATCTTTCAGCACTAAATGCCTCTTCTGGCATAAACACTTCTATGAACACTGGAATATTAATACAGGGGAAAAAATTCCTTCCTAGAGTTGAAAATAAATGTGTCACCACTTATTTCATTCATTGACTACAATTAAAAATATTTATAGGGGAAATAACCATTGCAGCTTTAATAGAAACTTCATTGATCCGCAGCCTGAGGGAAGAAAGATGAACATTTGATGAGGTGTTTTTTCAGTTCACAGAAAGAAAAGGCATTTGATTCACCTCTGTTCTACCTTGGACCTGTGACTGCCAATGAATCTCCATGAAGAGTTTCACCCAGATACTGCTCCCCTGGGACAGCCAGCCCCAGCCTGGCTGCGTGCAGCGTTACTTCACTTCCTTTAGTGAGCACGCAGACCACATCGCACGGTCATACACATCCCTCCCTATCCTCCCCGCACCTGGCTTTCATTTACAGCCGCTCAGCAAGAAACCTTGGCCTTACTCCTTGCTCCATCACCCATTAAGCCATTCTTTCTTTGTATGACCCCAATATGTCCAAAGGCAACCTCAGCTGCAATGAGGACCATTGCAAGAGCGTATCTGGGAAAAAGTGAACTCTCTCGTTTTCATTGCACAAAGGACCTGATACCAAATGCACCTCTTTAAAGATAAGCTTACAGACACTCCTCTTTGGTCCATAATTGCAAGAGACATTGCAGAGGAGACCTGACCATAAGCAAATGCTAAGAGTGCCGTGTTACTTCTTGGCTCTCTTGCCTTTCACCAGGCCAGGACTTGAAATCATTGCTTGTTCTACACACAAATGTGTATCAAAGAAACACCACTAGCAAGGGTCTTGATAACCTAATTAAACCCCATAGACAGTGGGAAAATTGGTGTCTTACAACAGATGAAGGGTGAGCTGCATCAGGACTTGCTCTCAAAGAAGAAATTTAACCCCCCCTGTGTCCAAACTGCAAACTGAGACACACAGAGCTCAACCCCAGGTGCAAATTCCTCTCAGATTTATGGAATAACTCTGAGACCTTGGGGCACTCCAGTCCCAGCAATGCCAAACAGCCCAAATCGCTTCTGAGAACTGGCCTGGAAAATAAGCATTTATTGTCTTTACATGGTGAGGCATAAAAGAAACCCTTGACTTTAGAGCAATGGTTACATCAGTCTCCAGAAGACACGTGAAGCCAAGGCTTCGTTAGCCATAAAACAATTACTACCTCCTTCAGTGAAATGTATGCTGCTTTAAACCATAATCCACCTCTCAAAAAAAGTACACCTCATTAAAGTTTCATGTCTTCTGAACCAGCTGGCAGCAGACATGTGAAGCTGGGACCCTTTCACAAGTACAACCTAACCAACCATCAGCTAGGATGGCCATACTACGCTTCACGTTAAGGGAAAACTCAGCACTCAGCCTTTGCCAACACAGAAATTCTTGCTGGCCCCCACTTGCACCGTGCAGCCCTGGATGCTGCATTAGCCGTTAAAAATACAGTTATTTCTTCCCCTTTGTTATAAGGCTCTGAACAAAAGCTGACCATCACTTAAAATTCCTGTTGCAGCAAGGCGACTGGGGATGAGACCCAGCCACAGAGCACATGAGGTATGCAGGGAGTCACATAAAACTCCTGTCATAGGCCACGGCTCTGAGAAGTCATGTGTTTTCCAAAACCAGCATTTGCCAGAACAAAGCTTAAAACCCACTGGCTCAGGTCAATGATGTGCCAGTCAACAGCACTTCCTGTTTAAGTGTCCAGTTGTGGACCCCTCAGTTCAAGAAGGACAGGAACTGCTGGAGAGAGTCCAGCGTAGGGCTACAAAGATGATCAAGGGAGTGGAGCATCTCCCTTCTGAGGAGCAGCTGAGGGAGCTGGGGCTCTTTAGTTTGCAGAAGAGGAGACTGAGGGGAGACCTCATTCATGTTTATAAAGATTTAAGGGTGAGTGTCACGAGGATGGAGCCAGGCTCTTCTCGGTGACAAACAATGATAGGACAAGGGGTAACGGACACAAGCTGGAACACAGGAGGTTCCACTTCAATTGGAGAAGAAACTTCTTCTCAGTGAGGGTGACAGAGCACTGGCCCAGGCTGCCCAGAGAGGTTGTGGAGTCTCCTTCTCTGCAGACATTCAAAACCCGCCTGGACGCCTTCCTGTGCAACCTCATCTGGGTGTTCCTGCTCCGGCAGGGGGATTGGACTGGATGAGCTTTGGAGGTCCCTTCCAATCCCTAACGTTCTGGGATTCTGTGATTCTGTGTTTGCCTTAAGCAGTTTTTTCAGGTAAGCACTGCTTTTTAGTTCTTCACACCACTATGGCTTCAGCTCCTGCTGCATCTCCTCCCCTTCATCATCCTCACTCCCTCCCTCACATCCTCCCCACCAACACTCCCATCTTGATGCCCTCTGGAACACAGCTCCGAGCATCTGAAGTTGCAGCTCTTTTTCCATTAAACCTTCCTACACATCTATTAACACACAAAAAGAAAAACCTGAGGTTCAAGAGCAGTGGGATGTTAAACATCTATTTTAAGGATTTATTTGCAGTCTACTGGCAGTTAATTTCTCCACTTATTCAAGCCCAGGTGTCAGTGGCTATAAATGCCCAGATCTGCATTTAGAAAAAGTATTCATCTAATACATAAAATACATTTTCTGAAGCCCACTTCAGACTTCTTACAGTCCTCACTTGGCATAAAATGGGCAGAACCAATGAAACCAACCCTTTTTGCAGTCAGTAGCAGGTTCACAAGACCAGCATTAGGTTACAGTGTCGCTCTCCACAGCTTGTGGCTGTGTCATTCAGAAGCCTCACAGTAAAAGACATTTGTCACTTATAAAGCCTCCCATAAGGCAAGCCAAGAATTCTGAGTAGACAGCTATTTCTAAAGCCTAACTGTAAGACAATAAAAGCCAAGTTTCAAATCGTTATCTTTTCATATTCCCAAAGAGAAACAAGATGTTCTGCTCGCTAGCCAACACTCTGCAGCTGAATGGTTGATGCTATAAACTTGCAATTTAAGAATAGGCTCATGGTGACGATGCCAAATCCTCTTGCTGGAGAAAAGCCCAATAAGTGGAAATTAAGACTAAGTAAACCATTATGCCTTTAGCAAGAAAATGACACATTCTGTGGTCAACGGTGCTGGCATTTTGTACATCTAAATTAAATGCAAGGGTGAGAGACACTCCATGTGGCTCTGTGACTGCAGACACTGAGAGCCACACTGGCTAAATCCTGTCCTCCCGCAGGTGCTTTTCTCCCCCCGTAACCCACAGCTGCAGCAGCTCAGACCTCCTCACACATTGTCTGTCTTGCACTTTTTAGACTCCTCCTTTCCATTTCTGTCATTGCACCTTCTCAGAACACCCATGGTTTTATTTAATTCACAAACTAGAAGAGAACAGAATCAAGGCCACAGACTCTTATACGAAGACTTCGCACCGGCTACGTGTACTGCAGCTGTCAGAAGTACATTTCAGAGACTCACAGTGATCCAAATTTTCCTTAAACATCCACAGTTTTGGACTAACTTCAAGAATCCTCATAGCTGTCAGAGGTGGCGTTGACCCAAGTTTTGCAGCATCTTTTTATTGAGGTCATTAAAAATAACACAAATGAGCCCAAAAGCCTCTTTCATCTTTCCAAATACTTCAGGAGCGATTTTGAAAACTCTATAGAACACGAAGATGTCAGAG